TAAAGAAATCTGCTCTTCTATATTTTTAGACGTAGCACAGGCATTCGACATGGTAAGACACAAAGGCCTTATAAGTTAGGACATATATGTCATCCCGTTTGTAGCAATTTTGGAATCTTACTTAGCTAAAAGATTATTTAGAATTAAACAAGACACTGAATACTTCACGCTAAGAGAAATAAGAGCAGGTGTGCCGCAAGGCAGTATATTGGGCCCCACATTGTACTTGCTTTACACGAGTGATCTATCACAAATAGAAAATGCTACGGTAGCCACTTTTGCTGACGATACTGCAACATTAGCAGGAGGATCGAACATTGACGATCCAAAAAAAAAATGACAGAAGGCAAGTAACAAAAAAAAGCCAGTGGACTAAGGATTGGAGAATGAAGTTGAATGAAGCAAAATCAGTTCACATAAACTCAGCAAAATACCTAGGAATGACTTTAGATATCCAACTAAGGTGGAAAGAGCATATAAAGAAGAAACACATAGAATTAGAAAATAAATATAGAGAAAATTATTGGCTGCTAGGTCGTAAATCCAATTTGACAATTGAGAACGAAATATAGATTTATAACCAAATCATTAAACCAATATGGCTATATGGCACTCAATTGTGGGGATGTGCCAAGAAAATATATAAACAATATTCAAACCTTCCAGAATAAAGTTCTACGGGGCATGGTAAATGCGCCATGGTATAAACGTAAGGGTGACATCCGCAGGGACTTAGGGTTCCTTTGGTTGTAGATGAAATTAGGAGTTGTGCTACAAAGCATAGGGCATGTAAATATGAAAGACTTAAACGAACAAGACCTTTCGATTTAACACAAAATACCAATTTCCTTATTTAATTCCTGTATGGAAAAACCACTCCAAGCGCGGAGGTAGTAGTTGGTCTGTAGGACCAGTTTTATCCGTTACTTTAGGTGATTTTGTAAGATATTCGCGCTTCCCCACTGTTGTAGGAAACAGGCAGGTAGCGCCGTCCTTCTTCGTCTATTTTTTTCACCTAGTAAAAAAAGAAAATTAGACTTATTGTTTGTAATTTGCCCATGTTTCTCTTTCTTTAGCTTCTCATTCTCAGTCCGCAGCTCTAGAACCTCGCTTTTCAAATTACTGATGAATAGGGGGTACGATAAAAAAAAACATAAGACAAAATTGATCAACCAGAGCAAATCTTATCAAATCTTATATCTTATCAAATAGCAAATCCTCGTATTAAAAAGTAATTCCATAGTGCTAGAGATGTCAAGACTATAATCATACCAAAGGGTTCTGTAAGAAGACACCGAAATCTGTTAAGTGTGGTGAAATCGCCTCCAACAAGCTGCGCAATTTCGAGAAACACTACTGCAAAGTGCGCCAACTGTGACAATCATCCGGCAAATTATCGCGGGTGTCAAATTGCTAGAGAGCTGCAGGAAAGAAGAGATTTGCGAATGCAGTATCTGTCAGCGAAAAGAAACTCAAATATACCATCTAGAACTACAAACCTAGTAAATGTAAGACAAAGTAATCAAATCTCTAATAAAGTAACGAGTGGAATCTCATATGCACGAGCAGTACGTGACAATCACCCTAGTCTCATAGAATAGTGCTATAGTATAGAAAGAACTTAACATCTAATAATTAAAAAACTTGGCGAGCAAAAAATAGCTTAAAATCTCATCTGTGATAGAAAAGACAGTATTGAAAACAAACTAACCATGGATGTAGGACAAATGTTTAACATGATTAGAATCTTAAATTTGAATGCAAATGGACTATCAAGCCGCATTTTGAAATTAGAATTTTGAAATTGTGTAAAAGTACAATGAGAAAATTGACATAGCGCTGATATCGGAAACCCATTTTACCAATGACGGCTTTACAAATTTAAGAGGTTACATGTGCTCACAGGAATATCACTCCATACACCCTAAAAACAAAGCTTAAGATGGATGCGTCAATCAATCAAAACTCAAAATAGTCAAAAACAATATAAAACACTACCTGGAACCAAAACTTGAGAAGGATATTGTGCAAGTTTCATCTGTTAAAATAAAAATGAATAACAAAGAATATAAAATTTCCACTATAATAATATATAAACAAAGTCGGCTATTTACTGTCCACCTAAACATAACCTAAAAGTTGATGAATATAAAACATTAATTATGAGCCTAGGTGATAACTTCATAATTGTGGGAGACTTCAATGCCAAAAATACTTCTCAAAAATTGATACGCCCAAAGGTGGAGCCCTGTACACATTCGCCAGCGGATCCAAATCGAACACCAGATCTCATCAATTTCTTCATTATAAAGGGATTAGCTATTAGTTGTACTCATGTCAACGAAAATTTTAATATAAATGTTCCGATCACATTGGTGGTATTTTAACTGTAAGCGAGTCAATTATCCTTAAAAAGTTATGTTCATTGAAACTATCTAACAGAACTACTAACTGGCCCGGATTCCATGATGAATTGCAACATCGCATCATTTCGCAAACACCGTTAAAAACGCCAAACCAATTAGATAAAGAGACTAATAACTTTATAGCGCTGTAATAAGGCTGCAATATTTTCCTGAAATAAAGGTTGCTATAGTCCGAATGGTTCCAAAACCAGGTAAACCACAAGATGAAATGAAATCCTACAGACCAATATCACTTCTTCCAATTATATCTAAGATTTTGGAAAAGCTACTGTTAAAACTAATGATTCCAATAATAGAAGGAAGGCATCTAATACCAGATCATCAATTTGGATTTAGATGTAACCATTCAACTATTGATCAAGTCCACAGAATCACGAACGTAATTGAAAACTAGTTAGACAAAAAGGAAATATGCTCAGCTGTGTTTCTAGACATCGCCAAGGCGTTTGACAAGGTGTGGCATGAAGCCCTGATCTTCAAGCTACAGGTTTTTCCGTCAAAAATATGTGGAGTGCTAGAGCCATATCTGGGCAGTAGTAAGTTTAGAGTGGACAAGGTGATGAATACTTCTAGTCTTAGAAGTATGATGAATACTCTGGTCTTTTTTGCGTCCTGTGCTATATCTGCAACTTTTGCAGATGACACCGCAATTTTAGCACATGGTAACACCATCTAAAAAAGCACGGAGAAAAACTACAAAAATCATTAGATGAAATTATGTTATTGATGAAAAAATGGTGAATTACAATTAATCAGGACAAATCGGTTCATGTTAACTTTACTTACAAGCGAATAAATAACAACCATTACTAATACTACTATTAAATAATAAAATTGTACCCTATGCCAATGACGCAAAATATCTAAGGATGACGTTAGATGCAAAATTACGCTAGAAAGAACACGTAAAAAAGAAAAGCAAGAGTTAAACATCACAATCTCTAAATTGAATTGGTTATTGAGCAGATACTCAGAAGTGAGTGTTCATAATAAATTATTAATATACAAACAGGTTATTAAACCAATTTGGACATACGGTATACAACTTTGGGGTGTGCAAAGAGAACGAATCAGCAAACAATTCAAGTCATCCAGAATAGAGTACTACGAAATATAGTAAAAGCACCTTGGTACGTAAGACATTCCACCATTCATAGAGATCTCAACATTAACACGGTCGAAGAAGAAATAAGTAGATACTCCATCAAGCATGTAAATAGAGTACAATGTAAATAGAATACTGAGCTTGTAAATAGAATACTGAGACGAGACAAATAATGGTCAACGAAGCTCCCAAGCGACTCAAGAGAAAAAGACCTACTGATCTGCACTTGGGTTGAGTAAGGATGCGATCTTCGGGGTTGCTATCAATGGGCGATTCCCCCCACACTTAAGCGGATGATGAAAGAGAATTGCTTGATAGGTCAACATGACTTCAATAAAATATAAATATAAAAAGAATATATTATTTTGTTCAGAATATATTTCAAAACTAAAGGTTTTTTCAATTTATATTATGATACCTTATCTAAATTACAGTTTTGAGTAGGGAGTTGATATTAAAAAATATGATTAAGACAAGTAAGTAGAAGAGTCAATAAGGGATTTGAAACCATAAGATGATAAGCATATAATTATTTTCAATTGCGACCCTTTCATTATATCAATATTGATATATCCAATTATAACTAAATTTTTTTGTTTTACTTCATTCAATTAGTAATACATCAAAATTATTTTGAAACATTAAGCACTTCCTATTTGTACCATGAAATCTATACGTACAAAAAATTGAATGTGTTACGCTACTAAAATTGCATTTTATCAAAATTATTCATACGTTTTGTTAAAATTGCAATTTAGGCTATATCCATCTACATATGTATGCACATACTCGTATATGTATTATAGTTATTTTGTTTATTTTGCTAATTCATTATATTTGAATACTTTCAAAAGATTCTAAATGAGATAGAATGAGTTATGTTAAATTATAGCTTTTATAAGGTACGCTTAGACCAGTTAGGTCCATTGCATCATCCATAGAATGAGTTATGTTAAATTAGACTAACGCAGTTTTTATAAGGTACGCTTAGACCAGTTAGGTCAATTGTGGCATTGCTGGATCTGAATATCTTGGTCAACTTATGAACCAGCTCAGGATTTTTATAATAAGGTTGAGATTCCTTGCATAAGCATAGTATTTTTAACAACTTCCAAAAAGGGATTAAATTAACGATGCGACAGACCTCACATAGGTAGTTGTTTGGTCGCATAACAAGTTGTTAAGTTTGTATACATGTTATTAGTTTACTGTTTAGCTCCATTGCATAAGAAAAGCCTATATGTACTAAAAAGTGTCCATGCGTAAGTCCTCTTTTTAAGCGTCTAGAATATTAGTCGCCCTTGCTTCAAACTTCTACGAAAGTCAATCACCATATGTTTCAATCAAATTAAACATCATCCCTTTTATTTTTTTTTATTTAAATAGAAATATGACATCTCGTTAAATACAAGTTCTGCTTCTATTTGGTAATTAGAAAATTAGTAATTTTTTTTTTATATATATTCCAGAAACTGCAACTGTAACAAAATCTGTTACTTTAGATTTATTAAAAAGGAAAATTACGTCTTTGCAAGACGAAAATAAAATACTGAAGTTGGAAGCACTACAATTAGTTAAACAAACTGATGAGGTTGAAGAGCAAGAAAGAAAACTAATGGAGGATATTACTTTGCAATTAAATTCTGCTAATTCCAACTATGAGGGTATAAGTCTAGAATTAGAACGTCAGAAAGAAGAAAATCGATTGCAACATGAGCAGATAACACACTTAACTGCTCGGTTAGCAGAAGCAGAAGTGCGACTGCATCAACTTACCATCGAAAATAATGAACAAATAACACTTTTGAATATAACCAAGGAAAATCAAAATTTATTAGCTGCGGAACTAGTTGAATTCAAACAACGTTATCAAGAAGTGTTATCATTATTGCAGGAGGCTCAAGAACATATGCGCAAAAATCATAAAAAGTGTCAGCCCAATGCAAGGAACTCTCTGGTACCTCCTTTTAGTGGAATTCCTCATCCAGATTCGTTGCAGTCTGAGTTAATGGAATTCTCTATGTATTCGGAAAACAGCTTAGACTCTGGAATTGGCGTTGACAGCAGGCTAGCAAATTTAGATATAAATAACCACTTAAATGTACCATCTTGCACAGAAAGTGGAATGTTGATGCCAGTATATAAAAAAGTTTTTGAAACAGTTCAGTGCGCATCAAAAGGTGGAAACTATTCAAGCAGCATGTTACATCTAAGTACAATGTCGCTTTGTTCTAGTAACGGACCGCGAATGTCGACTTCTCTTTGCAGCAGATACAACAGCAATCCAGCAGGGTCTTATGATAAACCTTCGTCGATATGTTTAACATCAAATTGTCAGGGTTATAACAGTTTATTACGTGGCGTTAAAACAATTTCATGTGAAAGCCTAGCATCACAATCTGATGATGGCTACCCCCAACAACCAAGTGGAGTCCCGGGTGTACCAGGAGCCAAAGATCTAGAGGCAGCCTTAAAACGTTTAACACCGGCTGAAGTATTAGCTCGGCGAGCAATGCTTTCACATGCTCCAGCTGGAACTTATAACTACGATGAGCCATCTATCAAATTAGACAATGTGCCATTAGGCTTAAGAACTCCAGATAGCATTATGTCCACAGGTTCCTCACGCTTATCGAACATGTCTGATTTGAACATAACCGAACACAGCACAAACCGAAGTAGTCCTCATTGGCGCCTTCCGGAAAAATTGCAAATTGTTAAACCCATAGAAGGTTCACAAACTTTAGGACATTGGTCAAGGTTAGCTACGCCCACGTTTAGTGGTCTTTTAGATGAAAGACCTGGAGTGACAATTAGATGTGGAAGAGGTCTTGATGACTTGGGTTTACAACTCTATTCCTTATCTGATGTAGAAGAAGATTTTGAAGAAATTACTCCAGGAAAGCAATTCCAAAACTCGGGATATACTTATACATATACTATCAGTAACGTACTACATCCCGATGATGGGCTTGTTAATGATCTTTCATTTTTATCTGGATCACAGCTAAGTTCAAGAATAGCTTCAACTTCAACCTCAAGACAACCAAGGTAAATAGGAAGATTATACAAAGTTATTCAGGTACTCTATTTATAAAGGTTATTGAGTGTAACCAAAAATAATATAACAAATGTGCAGAAAAAGATTCTTTTTTTTTACGGGGGGTTGAAACGAAAATTTTTTTTGTTTTTTTTAAATAATTTCATAAAAAAATTGTTGCCGCCACGATGCTTCATCGTAGATGGTGATTTTTAGATCTTTATTACAGACCGATTTATATTTTTGCCCATCTATGAAATTGAATATTTTAACCACGGTTATTAGAACAATGAAATAATAAATTTTCCAGTGCATTCATGATGCGGGCACAAAACTTTTTCTGGAGACCGATTTCACTACCTTTAAAAGAAATTTATGAAAAAAATTTTTCAGGTTTTAAAGTAAACCACTATATAGTGCAAGTTATAAGTTTTCTTAGAATTTGGATCCAGTGTTTGAAGAAAATCTTGTGAAACAGATGTATTACAATATATACTATTTCGGAAATACACAAGACGTCATCGAAAGTACGAAAATAAACATGCGTTTGATCATCAAATTTTTTCGTTTATGTTTATATAGAAACCAATTAATCAAAAATTAAAACTTTTGTTATATTTAAATAAATCTCTGTCTTTCCTTAATATAAAATAAAATTTCATTTTAGTTGCCCGCAAACCCCAAAAACTGGAGCATCACGAAGGAATTCATGTTCAACCTTTTCCGTAAATATGGGGCTAGCCTCAATGTTAAATGAAAGGGGTATCAAGGCTGTGACTCCAAGTGCATTAAATACACCGGCTGGGCCTAATTTTTCACCAACTGTTACACCGTGCAATAGTCCCGGTAATAAACAAACCAATTGAGAAAAGTTTAAATAAAAATAAATATAGTAAAAGTAATATAATTTTTTACAGAGGGATCCCCAACGCGATCTACGTCTCCGGAGCCACTACTCAGTTTACTTTCCTCTGGCGCGGATTTAATACGTCGCAAATTAATTGGTGATTACGATCGTCCAAATCAACACCCACTTCATAGGAATAATATTCAATCAAAGCAACAAACGATAATGTTGTCACGACTAGAGAAGCGCGCGTTACGTTCTTTGCGTCTTCTTGAAAAAGTTGAAAGCATTGGTTTAGAAAATATTATAGCCACGCAACCTAGTGCAATGAGTCAATTAGCATGTGGCATTGCAAGTCGATCAGCGAGTCCAATGGCACAACTAACAAGTCTGAAAAACCTTCAAACTGTAAGTAACGGAGTGGTTGATGATCTACAATTTGACCGTAATCAAATTCGAGCAGTACTTCATAAAGGTTTATCAAATGAAAGTTTAAAAAGCTTAACGTATAGCCCCAACAATACCGGTAAAAACTTAAATCCTGAGAAATCAAATATTGTTTGCGAAGATGAATCACAATATGTATTGTCTACAGAACGGCCTTCTTTAGTGTCCCTACCATCATCGTCTAATGCAATACAGAGTTGTAATAACGAAATGAATATGCAATCAACGACACAAAACTCAGTTATATTTTTAAACGTGTCTTCAGATTCGCGATGTAAACAAATGCAGAGGCAAAAATCTCGTCGAAATTTAAAAAATGGTCAACGTCCAGATCTTGGTACAGTAGGAGGACGAATTCGTTCTGATTTAGGAAAAGTAGAATTATGTAATGGGAAAGATGAATGTGAAAAGAGTTGTTTATATAACAAGAAGCCATCTATCAGTCAAAATAAATCAAATGCTAATTCCGTTGACACATATGAGTTTGAAATTTCACAGCAACAGTCTGTAACGCAATCTTTCGTTGGATCAATCAGTTCGCTTTTCTTTGGGCGTAAGGGTGGTTGGCTGTAGATTGAAGATATTGCAATATTCATTTGAGAACAGCCACAGAGATTAACCAAAATACTACAATATATAAGATGTTACAAAAAAACAAATTATTCAAAAAAAAGTATTTAAACTTTTTTTGTGCTTGTTAAAAATTTTTCTTAGTTTATAATTCAATTGTGACAATTTTATTCATGAAAGCGTATATACATACACATATGTACTTTATAAGTTTGTAAAGTCTTCATTGATAGTAAAGTTGGTGTATTTATTTTTAAAACATTTTTTTTTCAATATATGTACATATACTTTCTCCGGGTTTTCGATTTGTTTTAGATTATTTTTTAAATGAAGAAATATGAGTGAATTTGGATTACCTTTTGTACGAAATTTGTAAGTTAATTTGTTTATTTATGTTAATTAAATAGCCACATAGTCAAAGTTAGAATCCAGTTATCCAGTTATTTTTCTATTTTCGATATAATATGTACAATTTATTCTAGTCTTCTACAATATATTATGGCATAATATCCTAGTTCTAAAATAATTAATTTTACCTTATATCTCTAAAATAATTAATTTGAAAGAAAATATTCACATGCAAAATCCAGCAAAAAGTCATTAAAAGTAAGAATTTATAATTTTACTTTATTCAAAATAAATATAGAATTCATGTGGTATAAAAAATGGAATTTTAGTTTATTTTAAAATGATTTGCTGTTTTTTTAATTGCTCTAGTTATTAATGCTTACTTAATGCAAAATCTTGTCGATTTGTGGAGACCAGTGAAGAAAACTGCGCTGTATTTATATTCAAAATAAATACTCTGAATCGATTTTGCTCACATTTCCAACTGATCGGCAGCGTTTACAAATCAAACAAAATTTCGTATGACAAAAATATAATCTTGTCTTATTTTCTATCCATTTTTTGGACAGCTAACACAGTAATAGGATTATTATCAGGGCTGCCGTTTGGCTCCGATTTCAAAATTTGTGTCCCCGACTCTTTTTGCATTTTGGTTCCGATTTCGCTTTTTCATCAGTCAGCCCCAAAAAAAAATTGATAATTATTCTTGGAAAAATTTTTCAATTTCTAAATAAAAAAAAAACTTTATTTAGAAATTATGCACATATACCTTTTTCTGCTGATTCAAGAGCCGCCGTCTATCTTTTTGTAGTAAAGTTAATCAATTAGTTAATTGTCAAATAACTAAACTAAAGCAATTTCGTAGACTTCTGCAGATGAAATCTGTTTCTATAGAGCCTTTTCATTGGGCGATAATATTACAATTTTGCCATTTTAATTCAAGTCGATCGAGTACATTTTTGAAAACTTGAAAAATTTATGCAAAGACCCCCCCGTTTAGCGCATTGCAGTGCGGCAGCTGAAAAGGTAATTAAAAGGTATTTTTTGATCATCATAACTAGAGCCTTTACAAACTTTAAATAAAATTGGGTCAAACAAATAGTTTATAATTTAGCACTTTTCCCTAGAACAAGTGAAAATACTGCTTTCTTTCATATACGGACATACTTGTATTTCAAAAATTACCTTTAGGATAAGTAATGTTGAATACATTGCAATAAACGCAAAAAAAATTTTGAAGCAGCAAAAGGCGTCAAAATAATATTCGAATTTAAGGGTTGGTTAATTGCGTGAGATAAGAAAAATAATTATATTTTTTTTAATGGTGTGGCATTTACCGTTAACTTTCTGCGCTTATAAAAATTCGCAAAAGCTTACAGTTTCGGAAATATAAGGTGCCACAAATTCCGAAATTCGATAATTTGAGAGGAAGTGAAAAAAAATTTTCTTCTATTGAAATGAACATGTTATTAGTGCCTAAAAGCTGCCAAAATTTCAGATTCGTAAACTTACAATATAGAAGAAAAACTATATCAAAAATTTGGAAAGAACGGATTTTAGGTAATGGTAAATTTTAACAGCTATTTTTTTTTTCAAAGTTCAAGCATGGTATACGGTAGACGAAGCAAGTCACTATTTTTCTGCCTTTGCGAAATTTGAAAAATGCTTATGGCTTCGCTGTAGTAAATAGTTAAAAAATGGCATTTTTAAATCGTTTAAGAGGTTATAGCTTTCAAAGGGGAAGAAATAAGTTTCTAGTTCTATAATAGAACTTATTATAAATTATAATAAATATATTCGTATTTTTTTGAAAATAACTCCCTTCTTTGAATCTCCATCCAAAAAATCAAATGACAGCCCTAGTTATCATGGTTCACCAAACCCATTACCTACTCCAATATTCACCGAAATGATATTGTGGTTCAAGAGCCGTTAAATTCAATAGATTTAATAGACATTCAATAGAAAAAATTGTTGCTATCGAGATTTCGAAAAAATGACATTTGAAGGTATTAAAAAAGTAAACGAAATGAACAATGTAGGTATAAAAATAAAAACATTTTTCAAAATTTATATTTAATTAATATGGTTGACTTCCACATTGTGGAAAAAAACAGTTTTTAAACCGTTTTTTAAACCGCCTTTAAACTTGAGCATATAAGCTTATTTACCAAATTGCCAAAATAACGCATAGTTTCAAAAAACAATACGGAACGTAATTTGTTACGTTATGATATTGTATGTATTGTTTATTCACGATTTGTCATTTTTTTTATCATTAACAACTGCTCTTATCTATAAACCTAACTTTTAACACCAATTTGACACCCAATCAGTATTGTCAGCTTTACTTCAAATTTAACCTAACAATCCAATTTGATGCGGTATATAAAACTAACATTTAGGACAATGCGCTAAATTATTTAACAAATAGAAAAATTTTACATTCAGTGGCATTAGACTTAACAAAATTTATAAAAGAGAAATTTTTCGAGGTCTTCTCTCCTTTTTTCTGTGTATTGAAAACGATTTAAAAACAATTAAGTTACTACATCGTCGAAAGCTTTGAAATACAATATAGAACATGAAACATTGCTGCGAAAACGTTTCTTTTACAATATGGAAGCCAGGGTATCTTAACATTTTTACTTTATAAAAATGAAAATATGCTTAAATCGAGTGCCTATTTATTCTCTTGTGATACAGCAGTAAAAAACAGTAAGATGCTAAAATCAAATCCATTGGAGTTGACAGAAACTGAGTGAGTATAATTGATTTTATTGAAGGAAAGTTCGCCCACACTTCCTTCAATATACTTTTATTGGGTCCGAATTTACTCCATCACGAGCTAGCTACCTCGGATTACCTTCCATTAGTTCTTAAAAAAATAAATATTTTTATTACATGTAATAATGTTACATAGATATTATTTGTTAAAGTTTAAAGTTTTTAATTACATTTACCTTATTATAGATATTTTAAAATTAAAATATATTTTACTACTATTGATTTACGTTTTCTTCATAATAACGTCCATCATTAAGTCTTAAAATAATATAAACTATCAATTGAAAATCACAACCAAGTTTTGAAAATAACTTCTAGTCACACACGTACAAATTTTATCTGCCTAGTTTTCACATTTCTATCATAACATCATTTAGGCGAATTCGAGAACAATAACATTCGCTTCTCGAACCACAATATAAATAATAGGCATAATAAGCTGTCTTCAAAAATGCTTTAGAAATATACGAAAACGCACCACAAAATGTTTCAAAATTAAAAATCAATTAATTAATGGTATACTTCGGTAATATATTGTACACTTTAGTGATTAATAATCAAAATATTATAAGCAACGATTGCTCTGCAATACTTTATTGCGATGCGTAAGTGATGCAATGTTATGTTTGTTTAAAACTGGTGAATGATAGAATCTGATTTCCAATTAACATTAGAATGCCTAATAGAGCAAATAATTGTTCGACGCGTGCTAATTTACGGGAATATTAAAATTTTATATGTAAAACACAAACGTTAAATTTTATTTCAACAGTTTCTCGATGTTTAGAGACCAAAAAAACCAAAGCAAATTTGAAAGCAAAAAAGAATTTCACATATCATTCCATACAAAAGTTTTTCAGAAAAATTTTTAAAATATTTGTTAGCAACCGCTCAATCCTTAGAAAAAATAATAAAAGTAATATGAAATTTCGTAATGTCAAGTTAATGTTGTGAAATTGGTTATGGTACTCACGTGAGCGGTTTTCATGATTATTTTTTATCAAATTGGCAGTAACACTGCTTTAAGATCTTCGCAGTGTTTACCTGTTGATTTCACCTATTAATTTCGTGGATTGCTCCTTTAAATATCAACCTCCTTCCTGATAAACCTTGCTGCCAAATTGAACGTGTTGAACCTTTTCAGTATAATGACAGTTACACCGTGGCCTGCTATTTTCAAGCCAACAGTTGGCAAAGATGCATCTTTGCTGGATGAATTGACCTGTTCTGAGCCTCCTGCAAGCTCCAACATGTCCGTCGCTGCTGAGACTAATTGCTCAAATAAAAAATCTTGCACTAATTGCATCAGACTTTTTAAGCAAAGAGCCACTAGATCTACCTTCAACTCTTCGCCTCGATGTTCGAATCTATTTTTTCAAGATTCCCAGTGACAACCGCAGGAATTTTTATAATTAAAGAATTATTAATTATTATACTAACCTTAAGTTTTTATTAATAAGTAAATTCAAGTGCGATAAAGTAACCATAGCTAATACCACTTCAAATAACTTAAAATACAAGCCAAAATATAAGTATTTGAAAGTTACTGTACCTTCTTCCATAGCTGATGAAATAATTGGTCATAAGTTTTGGTCATATGACATAATTTTAATGCACTCTAAACTTAAATCCATACTTACTAACTCACTTAATAATAAGAGGAACAGGGAAAAGGTTCGTTTCCAAAATACTAACAATATGGATAACACCCCACGCACTGATTCTTTTCGCAAAGGCAAGCATACTAGACAAGTTTTTCCCGTAACAATGAATTTAAAGGGAACAATAACCGTGACTTCAATAATGCTTTAAAAAAGATATATGTAAGTACGGTAATGTCTTTATATCTAACAAGTCCCAATGCTCAGAGGGAAACTTGAAAGCACGACCTTATTTTATATGGGCTTTTTTAAATCGAAGTAGCTATTTTTGGAGAAGAAATATTAAAATAAATTTACACTTATTATAAAGCAGGTAAAATTTAGAAAATATATTTGAAAAATCAAAAAAATGTATTAATATTTTCATTGATAATTATTTTAAAATTATAAAAAAAGCGGAAAAAGAACAAGCACATCCTTCGCCTTCAACGTTTTATATGTTACTGAAAGCATTTCATTATTT